GACGGAAGATCATAGAAAAACTAAATGAAAAAAGGTAACTGAAGAAAAAAAAAGGAAAGAAAATTATGGTGTACCAGAAAAATGAAAGATAGCACCAAAAGCATAGGGAAAATGAAGACAAAGAAAGAAATATAGGGTAAATGAAAAAGAAAACGGAAGAAAAAAGATCATAGAACAACCAATGAAAATGACAGAAAGACAAAAAAAAGAAAGAAAGAAAGAAAGAAAATCATAGGTTAACTAAAAAAAAAGGAAAAGAAAGAAATACAGAAAATCAGGACAAATGAAGAAAAATTAATAAATAAATAAAATCATTGCGTAAGAAAAAGAAAGGAAAAAGCTCATATGGTAACAAAATAAAAAGAAAGCAATAAAATCATTGTGTAATTGAAGCAAAAGAAAGAAAGAAATCTTCAGAAAGAGAAAAAGGAAGATCATGGTTACTGAAGAAAAAAGAAAGAAAGAAAGAAAATCATATATAACTGAAGAAATAACCGATAGAAATAAAATCCTAGGTATCTGAAGAAAAATAAATTAAGAAGAAAGAAAATGATGTGGTAACTGAAATAAAAGAAAGAAAGAATGAATGAATGAATGAATGAATGAAATTCATAGTGTAATTCAACTGAGAAGAATAAAAAAAATCACTGGTAACTAAGTTGAAAGAAAAGAAGAAAGAAAGAAAGAAAGAAAGAAAATTAACTGAAGTAAAATAAAAATAGAAAGAAAAAATAATAGTATAACTGAAGAAAAAGAAAGAAAGAAAAAAATAAAATCATAGCTTCACTGAAAAAAGAAAGATAATCATAGGGTCAACTGAATTAAAATAAATTTAAAAAATTATAGAGTAACTGATGTAAAGTGTAAAGAAAAAACGAAGGAAAGAAAGAAATTCATAGTGTAACTGAAACAAAAGAAAGAAAGAAAAAAGAAAATCATAGAGTAACTGAAATAAAAGAAAGTAAGAAAGAAAGAAAGAAAAAAGAAAATCATAGAGTAACTGAAATAAAAGTGAAAAAGAAAGAAAGAAAAAAAAGAAAATCATAGAGTAACTGAAACAAAAGAAAGAAAGAAAGAAAATCATTGAGTAACTGAAACAAAAAGAAAGAAAGAAATAAAAAGAGTAACTGAAAAAAGAAAGAAAAAAAAAAAAAAAATCAAAGAAAATCATTGAGTAACTGAAACAAAAGAAAGAAAGAAAGAAAATCATTGAGTAACTGAAACAAAAGAAAGAAAGAAAGAAAATCATTGAGTAACTGAAACAAAAGAAAGAAAGAAAGAAAATCATAGAGTAACTGAAACAAATGAAAGAAAAAAAGAAAAAAGAAAATCATAGAGTAACTGAAATAAAAGAAAGAAAGAATCAATTGTTATCTTCTGTCTTCTTAAATCTTGTTCTTTTATTGTCCTATCACTTTAGTAGTAGTTTTTCTCATAATCTCTAACACTCAGTAACTTTTTGCATTCTAGTGGCTTTATTGCCTTGATTGGGGTAAAATGATTAAAAAAAAAAGAAAGAGAGCCATACGGTAACGGAAATAAAAGAAAAAGAAAGAAAAAAAATCGTAGGGTAACTGAAATCGATCACCTCGACCTGGTGAAATGATTAGCGAGCTTGTCGCTCTAGAACAATTAAAACAGAGGAGTGAGTTCGATCCTCACTGGGTACCCCATACTTTTGGCCTTGTGCCACATCGAAAGCTACACTTAGAAAATATCCGTAGGGTCACTGAAATAAAAGAACAAAGAAAAGAAAGAAAGAAAATCCTTGGGGAATCGAAGTAAACCAAAAGACAGAAAGAAAGAACGTAAGAAAGAAAGAATGAAAAAAAAAAGAAAAGAAACAGAAAACTTGATGGAGAGGAGGAAATTAAAATCTAATTCAAGAGAGAGAAAGAGAGAGAGAGAGAGAGAGAGGGGCGAGAGAAAGAAAGAAAGAATGAGTTAATTTGAGCCGTCAACATATCAGCGTATTAGGTAGTCTGCAATGGGTAGCGAATCAGACTTGTTGACGATCACATCTGAGTTGTAAATATAATCTTCATTCGTCGCCCCAAACTTGTGGTCCTGTACGTGAGCTTGGAAAATCAAAATTCTGAAAGAAGATTTAAATTTAGGCAAAAACAATGCAGATACATTGGAAGAGGTCTTTTATGTCCCGTGCTCCTTCGGAATGTGAACGATCATGGCTTCCTTCTCAATTTCCTGTCCTTTGTAGTAAATGTTTGCCTTTTTCCTATCTCTTCTAATCCGTTCTGCTAATCATATGCACAAATTCGTTCGAAAGGTTAAGCGCTGTTTTCCTCGGGCTATCTTTCTTTCAATATGTCCGGTGAGTGTTACATTTGCCAAACACTCTTTCCTCATTATGTGCCCTAGAAATTTCAACTGCCTCTTTCTTATGTTAAGTATAAGTGTCCTTTTTGTTTCCATTTTTTTTAAAACTTCGTCGTATACAAGTCATCAAATTCTCAGTATCTTTCTCTAGAATTATATTTCTGTTGGCTCAAGTCTCTTCTTCATCTGTGAGGAGATTGCCCAGTATTCACTGTCATATAGGAGGACTGATAATACATAGCACCTCAGTACTCTTTTCTTTGTTTCTCTTGCCTCAAGCCTCTTCTTCATCTGTGAGGAGATTGTTCAGCATTCACTGCCATTTAGGAGGACTGATAATACATAGCAATTCAGTACTCTTTTCTTTGTTTCTCTTACTTCAAGTCTCTTCTCCATCTGTGAGGAGATTGTCCAGCATTCACTGCCATATAGGAGGACTGATATTATATAACAGTTCAGAACTATATTCTTGTTTCTCTTGCTTCGTAAAACTTGTATTCCTAAAACCATTATTATCTGAAAAAAAGTACCCTAAAACAAATCCTTACAAACCATCTAGATTACGATATTAAATAATACCTGACGGTGCTGATATGCCGTTAAACAAAAACAAAAAATCAATCAACCATTAAGGTAAGCATATCTTACCATTAGGTCACGGAAAGCCATCACAGTGAAGCAAGTTTCAGTTAACCTTTTTAAGAAATGCACGTCACTGTTTAGGACATTTTACAGTAGATATCGGCTAATTAATAGCCTTGGGAAAGGTATGATTCCAACTCTCCTCCCTCAGCTATGGGTTAATTAGTAAAACTTTTATCAATAAATCGTTATTATCTAAAATAATTCTTATAATTTAGAAATATTTTCTGTCTTTAAATAACCTGCAAAAGAGGTGATAAAACGTAGAAATCGAATTAACCAAACAACAAACATGGCTTTTTGCACAAAGAAAACTGTGTCGATTTATTAAAAATTGTCTCAGGAACTTTTAGGTAAATGTCAGAAAGCGATCTATTTAACAAAGACATGTCTGCTTGATTGGTCGATGTGCATTGTTGACTATTAACGGGATTTTCAATGATTGCAGACTTGGATATACCAGAATATTTAGGCAAATTTTCAAGTCGATCTTTTTGTAATACGTACAGGCGTATGATAGAAAATTCTCTTCTCTCCTGGGTGGTCTTATTTATGTAACGAAACCTGGACAGCTGTTTCTATTTTTTCTCTTTCTTTTTCGTATTTCCATTTATTTTGACTGTATTTTCTTAATTTCTTATTTCCTTTTTACTTTAAAAAATATTTTTTTTTTGTTTATAGCATTGATAAAATAAAAAAAGAAATGAATTTGTTACGGTTTATTTAATACAAGAAACATTATATACCTAATATTCCGATACGGCTTTTATGCCGTGATATATGATATTTTTTTGAGCTGATGAAGAAAAAAAAGATTTAAACTTTAACCAATGTTCATCTCAGATGTTCGTTTGAAACTTACAGCAGTACGTAAATTAACTGGTGCCCTCATAAGAACCAAAAAAATGAACTTTTTAAACAACTTTTGTTGATTAGCCTTCATTAAATGATCGGTATACATTAGAATCGAAAAATATGGATTATTTTTTTATCATTTTACGGCCATATCACATTGAACCACCACTTCTCGTACGATCACAAAGTCGAGCTTGGCCAGTACCTAGATGAATGACTGCTTGTGAATACTAGGTGCTGTAAGCTTGGGTGTGCGGATGGTGTAATGGATAATGAGTCAGAATTGTTAATCGGCATGGAAAATCGGAGATCCGTGTTCAGAATACAGTCATTTATATTCACGTACGCGCAAATACCCTTGGGAAAAGTTATTAAGGCACCTCTTCATACCCCAGATATAGGTTAATTAGTAAAACGTGTTAGTAAAACCATTATTATGTTGTTTTTTGTTGTTGTAATAAAATTTGGTACAAAATATTTTGATTACGGCATTAAATAACCCCTAAAAGTGTTGATATGCCGTTAAACAAAAGCACTCAATCAGTCAGAGAAAACACTTTTAAGCTAAGCATATTATTACCATTAGGTCACAGGAAGCCATCAGAGTGAAGCAAATTTCAGTTACCCTATTTAAGAACTGCACATCAGTGTTTAGGACCATTTAAAGTCTGTATCTGCTAACTACATTTTCGTACCCGAAGAATAAACAATGACGTTTTAAGAAATTTAAAATTCAAATCAAGGGCCTTCTCACTCCTGTTGCAGGAATGACTTCCTCGTCGATGCTTGCATGATGTAATGGATAATGGCTCAGAATTGTAAGTCAGAGAAACGGGTTCAAATTCAAGTCTGTTTCATTATATTCCCTAACATGCAAATACCCTTGGGAAGGCTAAGAAATCATTTCTTCCTTCCACAGGCATTGGTTTAATTAGTCAGACTTCTATCAGTAAATCATTATCTCCAAAACGTTCTTACAATTTTAAATTATCTACTGGCTTTAAATAACCTGTCAGAGGTTGATAAGCCGTAAAAACAAATCAATCTTAATATAAATAATCTGTCGAAAACAAAGACAAATCTCTATAAATCTATGCAAAACTTCAGGAGAGGGACTCTTTCCGCCTTGTGGGACTAATCTTCATTCTTTTTACGTGCCATATCCTTTCAGGATGTAGGCGATCATGACTCTCCACCTCCCTCTATCCCTTGCAGATCTCAACAAGGTCCTTCCCTCTGCTTCCTCTCCCAGATCACGTTCTGTCATGCACCTGCTCAAGCCCGCCAGGTATATCACGCATTGTTTTCCCTTGTCTCTCTTTCCCGCTATTCGACATGTGAGTATCAGATTCTCCAGACACTTCTTCCTGATTATGTCTCCCAGAAACTTCAGCTACCTCTTCCTGATGTTAAATATAAGCCTCCTCCTTGTTTGCAACCTCTCTAAGATTTCATCGTTGCTCACATGCTCGGTCCATAATAGCCTTAGCATCCTTCTGTAGAACCACGTCTCTGCCGCCTCGCGTCTTTTCTTCATCTTTGAGGAAACCGTCCAATATTAGCTGCCGTAAAGAAGGACAGATGTCATGTAATCGCTCAATATTATGTTCTTTGCTACCAAAGAAATCCTCGTGTCTCGCAATACACTGCCCAGCTTTGTCCTTGGCCATCCCAATACGTATTCTAAAACGAGGCTTTGCTTATATATGAACTGTTCGATATAAGAATTTAAAAATTTATTCTATTTTGCCATCTCGTATTCTGTAAATAAAATATATTAGGTAGCATTGTAAGTTTACGTTTTGGGATTCGAATATAAAGTTAGCATTTTAAGATTGAACTTGGAAGAGCGTTCTAAAAGCACACCGGGATTTGCAAAGGTTTCCTCGATAAGGGAAACACAAGTTCGAATCCTGCTGAGGGGCCTGTTTTCTTTATTCTTTATTTCGAATGCACAAGCCGATTTGATTTAATTAAAGTCCGAGTTAGATTTACACGGTTTAAAAAGCAAATAGATATCTGCCGAAACATGCGTATCCACTTAATATAACGTTTTAATGATTAAGAAATGAACTGATTTATATATCAGTCTGAGATCGATTGCCATCCAAGGCTATATGACCCAATATGTCTTGCTATTTACTCATCGCTTAGAAGAGATTCAGACATTAACCAAGTGTATTTACACGTAAAGTGACGAACTCGACTGGAAATCGAACTCGCTTCTCTGATTCCCCAATCCGACTCGCTGCCTATTACACCACCGTGCCTCCACGCGAATTATGAAATTAATGAATTAAAAAAAAATTCGACATTATTTCTTATTGCAATAAACCTTATATTTAGTGACTACACAGGCCTGCTATTTATAAGCACTGGGCTAGAGATCAAGAGTTCAAATAAAGAAATTGTGGATTCCGACAGGACTTCATGCTGTATTTCGTTTTTCAATCAGGGCAACCGCTTTTAAGTTAAGTGTGCTTTGCCATCAGGTCACAGGAAGCCTTCACATTAAAGGAAAGCTTAATTAATGTATTTAAGAAACAGTCGTATATGCTTGTGTGTTATACAAGCTTCCAGGAATGAAAGCATAAAAATATAAAAGATAGGCTCAAGACAAACAAACAAACAAAAAAAAATGGCGTGTATTCATTTGAAAATATTCAATTCTAAAAAAAAAAAAAAAAAAAATTGTGCCATCATTCATGGATTTATTTTAAACGGCAAACAACTAAGCGAAAAATACTTGATACAAAAGCTCCAAAAAAAGAAATATTCTTTTTATCGCTTGTGTGTATCGATTCCCTCAAGTCTTGTAGGCAAGATAATTGGGAGAGGAAGCCGATATAAAATTCGATGAATGTGTCAATGCCGAGAATACGGGATATGTAAAGATGGCGGCTATCGTAATAAGATCGAAAGGGTTTTATACAAAGTGGGTAGATGGATTTGGAGAGAGGCTCGCTTTGGTTGGTGATTGCCGACGAAAGGTCGATCTACAAAGACAAAAGCGGGAGAAAATAAATCGAAGTAAATAATGATATACAAAGAAGTAATCCCCCGTATTTATAGATGGGATTAGTATATACATACAAACATATATATATATATATATATATATATATATATATATATACGTTTGTATGTATGTGTATATATATATATATATATATATATATATATATATATATATATATATATATATTGGCTGTATTTCGGCAGCGATTATTGAATTATGCATATCTGATTGAGTACCATTTAAAGTTTTTTTGTTTAAAATTTTTTATTTAATATTTTTAAGTTCTGATCAATTTCGGGTTTCAGGGAAGATTTTGATTTTGAAAATGGTTTGGTATACAATAAACAACTACCATATTTTAAATGCTAAATAGATAAAAATCAACATGAAAGGAAAAAGTATAATTCTGACATTAGTAGCTTAGAATAATATCTTCATCTTTTTTGTAATTATTATAATGTTCTGGATGTTATACACTTCGGCTTTATTCTGGTGTTTGTCAGTCTTGATAACCTTTGGAAAAGTTCAAACTAAACCCTTTATTACATTTTCGGGAGTACAGTAATGCCCTGATTAGTAGGGCAGGTTGCAATAAAACAAAAATTAGAACAACAATAAACGAACAGGTTTGAATTAATAAACAGTGGAGAATGGCTGAAATCAACCACGAATAACTAGCCTGATCTCGACGATTGATTCATTTTCTACGGCTTATCAACCCTTTTCAGGTTATTTAAAGCCAGAAAATATTTTTAAATTGTAAGAATTTCTTTTCTGAAGGTAATACCGATTTAATAATAAAAGTAATAGAAATTAGCCCAAAGCTTGTGGGTTAAAATAGAGATCCATACGTCTCTCAAGCGTATTTGATCGTAGCGATTTTCCAAGCGTAGCTTAGATGTGGCACAAGGCCGAAAGTATGGGGTTCCCAGTGAGGATCGAACTCACTACTCATTTGTAATTGTGCTAGCGAGACAAGCTTGCTAACCATTACACCGCCTTGAGGTGCCCTACAATGATTTTTCAATGCGTAGATCAGATGTGGCACAAGGCCGAAAGTAAGGAGCACCCAGTGAGGATCGAACTCACTACTCAGTCGTAATTGTGCTAGCGAGACAAGCTTGCTAACCATTACACTGCCTCGTGGTGCCCAAGCGTATTTGACCGTAAGTAAATATAACAGACCTTAACGAGAACTGGAATTCGGCTTGCCGATGCCGAGCCATTATCCATTAATTTACCCACTCATCCAAGCTTACAGCACCTAGGTACTGGCCAGTCTCGACTTTGCTTAAATCCGGTGACCTATTTTTCAACGTGATGTGACCGTAAATCGTATCTTTAGGAGAAAGCAGAAACAACAAAATGTCGCTAAAAAAAAGAAGGCTGAAATCAAGTAATAACATAATACCTGAACGCCGAGTAGGAAAAAACAAAACTCTCTAAACATAGGAATGGGGCTGAAATCAAGGAAAATCGTAACACCTTTGTTTATACCTCTTGATTCCTTGGGTAACATAGGGCCGCAATACCACGTCTCCAACGGACGCGGTTTCGGGTGATCCTCTTCAGTTCGGCCCAGGTCATGCCGGCTGCCTTCATCTCTGCGTCAACATTTCTGCGCCAAATCTGTATTGGTCGAGCCAAACCCAAACGCCCCGCCGGCTGCCTTCCCGGGCGATTTTCACCAGCACGCGTCATACGTTCTACTTTGGTGAACTCTTCCTCGGCCATGTCGTTGTTTGAAGATATTATTGAGGTTTCTGTAAGAAGCTAGTTTTTGAGTGAGTAGGTTATTAGCCTACTGCACAGTCCCCAACCTGGAGGACCATGATGTGTCTTTCATCTGGGTCCTAGGAGCCAGACGAAAAAACATAACATATCTGGCCTCTAAAATAATAAAAAATGAGATCCAAAAAAAAAAAAAAAAACTTAACAGGTAAAAGAAAGGGGCTAAAATCAAATAATAATAACGTGATCTCTTGGAAAAAGTAGAAACAACGAAACGTCGCTAAGCAGAGGAATTATTATTATATACCTGAACGCTAAGAGAAAACAGAAGTAAACAAGCAAAAAGTTACCGAAACAGAGAAAAGAGACTGTAAATGAGTAAAAATAAGGTATCCGAACGCCAGGAGAGAGCAAAAACGCCGAAAATTTGCCAAAAAAAGGTAGGGCGCCAGAATCAAATAATGGTAAAATATATTAACGTTAAGAGAAAGCAGAAAAAGCGAAAAATCGTCAGAGAAAAGAGACGGAAATCATCTAATATTAACACCTTTGATCTATAAAACATCAAACTCCAGAAGACGTAAAAAAAATCGCCAACGAAATCTCGTCAGCGCAGAGGCTGAAATCAATTTAAATGAACGAACCTGAATGCCCAGGCAAAGTAGAATTAAAGATAATTTCGCGCGAAAGAGGCTGAAATCAAATACTAGTAACATAAATTAACGCTAAGAAAAGAAGGTAACCAACGGGATCTCTCTAGGGCAAAGAGGCTGAAATCAAATGAAATAGACAATCCTGGTCGCTAAGATGGAACAGAAATAAAGAAAGCTTCGCTGCCCCCACCAAAAAATAAGAAAGAGGCTGAACACATGTAAATAATTATATTGGTGAGTAATTCAAAGATAATTTCGCGCAAAAGAGGCTGAAATCAAATACTAGTAACATAAATTAACGCTAAGAAAAGAAGGTAACCAACGGAATCTCTCTAGGGCAAAGAGGCTGAAATCGATTACGTTTCCTATCCTTGATCTATAAAAGACTTTAGACGGAAAACAGAACCAAGGAAAAGTAGCAAAACTGGAAGAACAAGCCATTGCTAACGTAAATTTCCTACTGTGTGTCACACTAAAATTTTCCATGCAATTTATCATAATTTAGCTGAACGAGAAAATACAGATAAAATAATTCTGAATCGAAGTTAGCTGCTTTTGATTACGAATAAACTAAGTGAATCTTTGTTTTTGTCTTCTCATCCTGGCATCTTTCTTTCTAACATTTTTTAAAAATATATCTGGTGTTAGAACCCCATTCATCAATGGGTTATATTCTCTTAAATGCCTGCTTTCGGCCACATCATGATCGGTTTTGCTACATCAAACTGACCTTGGATCATATCCCCCCTAGTGTGAGGCGGAAAGAAAATACAATCGCGTTTTGACTACGACTAAGTGTAGTAACTTATCAGCTTAATCTGATTCTCTTTCTTCCATTTCTTTCTTTCTTTCTTTCTTTCTTTCTTTCTTTTTTTCGCTTCCGTTTCTTTCTTTCTTTCTTTCTTTGTTCTTCTCTTGCTTCCGATTCTTTCTTTCTTTCTTTCTTTCTTTTGTTTCTTTCTTTCTTCTTTTGCTTCCGTTTCTTTTTTTCCGTTTCTTTCTTTCTTTCTTTCTTTCTTTCTTTCTTTTTTTGCTTCCGTTTCTTTTTTTCCGTTTCTTTCTTTCTTTCTTCTCTTGCTTCCTTTTCTTATTTTTTTTTCTTTCTTTCTTTCTTTGTTTCTTTCTTTTCTTCTTTTTTTTTCGTTTCTTTCTTTCTTTTTTCTTTTTTTCCGTTTGTTTTTGTTTGTTTCTTTCTTTCTTTCTTTCTTCTTTTGCTTCCGTTTCTTTTTTCTTTTCTTTCTTTCTTTCTTTCTTTCTTTCCTTCCTTGTTTCTTTCTTTTTTTTTCTTTCTTTTTCTTCCTTTTTCTTTCTTTCTTTGTTCTTCTTTCTTTCTTTCTTTCTTTCTTTCTTTCTTTTTTTTCTTTCTTCCGTTTCTTTTTTCCGTTTGTTTTTTGTTTGTTTGTTTCTTTCTTTCTTTCTTCTTTTGCTTCCGTTTCTTTTTTCCGTTTCTTTCTTTCTTTCTTCTCTTGCTTCCTTTTCTTATTTTTTTTTCTTTCTTTCTTTCTTTTTTCTTCTTCTTCTTTTTGTTGCTTTTTTCCGTTTCTTCTTTCTTCTTTCTTTCCTTCCGATTCTTTCTTTCTTTCTTTCTTTCTTTCTTCTGTTTCTTTCTTTCTTCTTTTTCTTCCGTTTCTTTTTTCCGTTTCTTTCTTCTCTTGCTTCCCTTTCTTATTTTTTTTTCTTTCTTTCTTTCTTTCTTTGTTCTTCTCTTGCTTCCGATTCTTGCTTCCGATTCTTTCTTTCTTTCTTTCTTTCTTTCTTCTGTTTCTTTCTTTCGTTTTTTTCTTCCGTTTCTTTTTTCCGTTTGTTTTTTGTTTGTTTCTTTCTTTCTTTCTTTCTTCTTTTGCTTCCGTTTCTTTTTTTCCGTTTCTTTCTTTCTTTCTTTCTTCTCTTGCTTCCCTTTCTTTCTTATTTTTCTTTCTTTCTTTCTTTTTTTTTGCTTCCGTTTCTTTTTTCCGTTTCTTTCTTTCTTTCTTCCGTCTCTTTCTTTCTTTCTTTCTTTCTTCTCTTGCTTCCGTTTCTTTCTTTCTTTTTTCTCTCACTGAAATCAAGTACTCTCTGTTCCTCTCTTTCTACACGATCAAAACAGAATAATTCGTTATTTATGAGACATTAAAAGGTCGTGAGAATTAAGGATATTTAGTCGGCTCACGTGTTTGATTAAACATCTAAGATAAGATATTGTAATTATTTACATTGTTCGAACTCTATTGCCTTATCTCCGCCCTTCTTCAATTGATTGGAATTTCGAACTGAACCCTTTATTTCGCAGATTGGGGTAGTTTGTTCTAGTTTCAGGTACCATTTATCACCCTTTAATTTAAATCTCCAAATTTTTGTTCACCTCTGCAGTCTATTGAGGACAATATTGAACTCACAACTCTTTGGGTCAAGTCATTGAATCCAACCAACGGTTTTATCCGCTGGGTCATGTGTCCTAGAGGAGATCAGTGGATTAAACTTAGTATCTGTTGTGGCCTGTTTAGTGGCCAGAAAGAAAGACACGGAAGACGAAGGTAGGTTGAAAAAGGATATTGAAGATACATACAAAACAATAGTGTTAGTAATAAGTAGATTAGCATTGCGTCTACTATTCCACTTCACCCTATCCGACTCTCGCAGTTTGTATTTATGAGAGGAGGAAGAGTTCATTATACTGTAAGAGGGTTTACCACAACAGTATCACAGTAGACGTCTTTTGTTTTAAAAATGGGATTAATATCTATTGGCCTAATAAAAATCTTCCCTGTTGCTTTTCCCAATCGGGGAAATTTACGGCCACATCACGTTGAAACATCGGTTCCCCTACGATCACCGAAATTAAGCAACGTTAAGCCTGGTCAGCACCTAGATGGGTTACCCGTTAGAGATACCAGGTGCTGTAAGCTTATTTGTGCGATCGGTGTAATGCATAACATTTGGGTCCGTTATATTCACTTCCGCCTAAATACGCTTGGGAAAGGAATGAATCCACCTCTTTACTCCCCAGTTATGGGTTAATTAGTAAACCTTATGTCACTAAACCATTATTATCTTCAAAATATTATTAAAATCTAAATATATCTACCGGCTTTAAATAACCTTCAAAGTGTTGATAACCCGTAGAAAACAAATCAATCAATATTAAAGGCATGAATCGAAACTGATACAACTTACGACCACAGCACGTTGAAACAGCGGTTCCTGTACGATCACTGAATTTAAGCAACTTCAAGCCTGGTCAGTGCCTAGATGGGTGACCGGTTGGGAATACAAGGTGCTGTAAG